TGTCATCGACTTGAAATGGATCCTGGTGACATGCCCTTTAAAGCCAGCTACCTTGGTAGAAAAGGCAGAATGGCAGGGAATGGTTCCAGATCAAGAATCTCTCCCTTATCAGTTAAGATTCCCATAGTGAGTTTATAAAAAAGTGAATAAAAAAGATTTCAATGAAGGGAGAATTCAATTCCAGGTCAGAATGATTTGAAATGTTTTCCATTTTACTTACCATGTCTAATAAATGAATGACTCATGGTAGCTCAGTTACATTAACACCTTCTTTTGATAGCAATAAAATACTACTTAGCTTGGCTATTCTTTCCATTTGAAAACCCAAGTGACTATAAGTGATATAAAATCTTAGGGCATTTTGATCTTTATATAGGAAATACCATTAAAGAGACAACAAAAACTTACTGTTTGTTGCCACGGAATTAAGTACAACAAGGTAACTTCTTATATTTATTGATTAATATGTAATTTTCTTGGGTAAAGTACTACCATTGGTATTTGCATCTCTAATCTTACAAGTAAATCTGATTATCTTTTGAAAATACCTCATTACAGAAATGCTACGTTATGTTTAATGATTTATATTGGATTATTGAACTTTACTTTGAGATCATATGGCAAACAAAAGGCCTATTACCAAAACTGATGTTTATGAGAATGGCTGAGATTCTAAGCAATACAATAGCAATCAGTAAGCCAAAAAAAGGGGGAGGAGTGTTATAGAGCTAGCTATTCTCTATGTGGAATAAGAGAATTCTCCTTAACTAGACAGAAAATGAGCTTGATAAATTAAAAGGATGTTTGCCTCAAATTTTTCCATTAATGTATAAAAAAATGAAAAATATTACATATTAAGACATAAACGGAATTTTTTAAACATAGCCAATGACATTAAAAACAATGACTATTTTCAGAGAATGAATGTTAAAAATAAAGAATAGAAAATGGAGAAGTAGAAGTTAGGATTAAAAGATTTTCTAATAAGGGTCTTATTATCACATCCAATAATCCAACCACTTAAGTTCACTTCATGAGAAAACTACCAAGGCCATCATAATCTCTATTAAAAAAAATACTCTTGATTCTAAATTGTCTCTCTAGTAGGACTGACATATAGGTGAGTCAAAAACCAAAATAACCCTCATTAAAATACCAAATCTCTATATAATAGGAGAAATCAATATGTTGGTATGGTATTATGTTGGTTATTTGCACTTCTAAAGAATATTCTTGCCACTATTCTGTGTACTGTGCAATACTAAGCTTTATGGCAAGACAATAACTGAAATGATAAGCAAGGCAAACCAATGAAGCTAAATATTCATAGTACACAGCTATCTTTATAGTAGCCTATTCATCAAGGCTTGTAATATTTGAAGATTGCCATGGGTTGAGTTTTTCCTATCCCTCATTACTTTCAAGTTTTAGTTTTACACAAGACATTACTTATTCACCAATCTGCACCCATGATTTACTATTGAGTAGTTAAGTCATGGTCAAAAAAGGCATGTGGGGGTGGGGGTATGTGGGGGGAAAGAATAATACAATGAAGATACTCTAAGGGATAAGAAATAATTCTAAAAGTCAGCCTTGAGATGGGTATGGTGGCTGGTGGGAGGTGGAGGTGGGAGGACCACTTGAGGCCAGGAGTTTGAGATGAGCCTGGACAACACAGTGAGACCCC